GTAGGGAGCTTGGACTCAGTAGAGCGGTCTAGAGTTCGGGCTCGGTAGTGAGCTTGGACTTGCTTCCGATGTTCGCTTCGGGCGCTCTACTGTCCCGAGTTGCTTGCCTTTGCCACGTGTCGGGCGATTGCGAGGTCGGGCCAAATTTCCCTTCATCACTATCGATATACCCGATATGGGTCTGATACACATGAACGAAATGTCCAATTTCCATGTGTATCCCGTATTTACTTTTCAAAGATACGATACAATATGTCCCGTATCTGATGTATCATATTGAAATTTTAAACCTTGATACCTCTTAATATAATTATTGCACTTTTAGATGTCAAACTTCTGAGCAAACGGACATGTCAGACTTCCAAACAAACGAATAGACCCTCAGTTCCAAAATAAGTTAGTAATTATTATCCCTACCAAGAAAAAAAACGAAAACTCATTTTTGTGTATAAATAAAACTTAATAACAAATATATATATATATATATATAAAAAATAAATAAAATAATAACCTAAATTTATTATAAAACAAAATTTACTAAAATACATAAATAAAAAAAATCAAAATAATATTCCCGTAGTTATTACGGGGTCATTCTCTGGTTTTAAAACAATAAAACCGAATTGGGATCTGCTTTGCCTTAAAAAAAAATTGCCATCTGCTCCATAAACAGCGCGCCTCACATCGACCTCATAGCCACATCCGACTCATGAATAACAAATACAAGTAGTGAGCCTCAGATCCCGTTCCAGTAGTGAGATGTTCAAGACATGAGGCCACAACATGCTGTGGGTGTGGGGTCGGTGTAAGGCGCGCTCCGTGAGAGTAGATCCGGACTCGGTGAAACCATCCTCCGCCGTACACGAGACACGACTACACAAATCTTGGGCTAATAACACGTGGCCAATATAACACGTGGAAAGGACAGTTGATCGTTGCTACCAAAGCAGCAGATCCCGAGTGTTTTCTGGGCGTTAGTGAGTTGCACACTACACACACAGTAAACTCTTCCCTCGGGTCTCAGTCTCAGACCTCGATTTCGATGTCTGAAAGTGAAAGGTATTGAATCCAAACGAGTCGACTCGTTGTCAGACTAGTTCCCTGTATTTCTCTCCCAAGTCACACCGTCTGCTTTACTGTCGGAGATGGGAAACTGCAACGGCTTACCGTCCAACGACGATCGGCATCCGCCACCTCCAATCAACGTCATTAGCGTGCGTCCCGATGATAAACCCACTACCCCAACTCCTCCAAACCAGCATCAGGGGCCACCCCAACCACCAAGCGCCGTTCACCGTCCACTCTCAGGAACCGGACGCGTCCTCGGCCGTCCGATGGAAGATGTTCGGGCCACGTATGTTTTTGGCCGCGAGATCGGTCGCGGCCAGTTCGGCGTTACATGTTTAGCCACGCACAAGGAGACCAAAGAGCAATTCGCCTGTAAATCTATTGCTACTCGTAAGCTGGTGAACCGCGATGACATCGACGACGTCCGCAGGGAGGTCCAGATCATGCACCACCTGACGGGCCACCGTAACATAGTGGAGTTGAAGGGGGCGTATGAGGATCATCACTCGGTGAATTTGGTGATGGAGCTGTGTGAAGGTGGTGAGCTGTTCGATCGAATCATCCTGAAGGGGCATTACTCTGAACGAGCGGCCGCAGCGTTGTGCCGTCAGATCGTGACCGTTGTTCATTATTGCCATTCTATGGGGGTGATACACCGGGATCTTAAACCGGAAAATTTTTTGTTTCTCGGTAAGGACGAGAATTCCCCTTTGAAGGCCATAGATTTTGGGCTATCGGCGTTCTTCAAACCCGGTAATTTCGCGCTTTCTTTTCCTCTTTCTCTCAATCACTGAGTACATGTAAAACCTGACATGGAAACATTTTTTTTTTCAAAGATAACTCATGATTTAATCAAGGAGACAAAATAATTTAGTTCAGAGACCGTTGGGAGTCTTCTCGGTAAACAGTGTGTAGGAATGCTCATCACTACCATACACTGTGTTGATGTATGAATTGATTTTGTAAATGCCTTTGACTTGTTGTCTGAATTAAATACGTGTCGAGTGTGTAGCTCATTCTGCTGCTTAACGTTCCTGAGGCATAAGTTCATGACTTGTTTGCATCTTCAAACTTGGTCAAGTGTATCGATTATAGTTAGAACGCTGTGGGACTTCTGCACGTTGAGGTGCTTTTATAGCTTACATTTTAGGGTGGAAATGTAAAATACAGAAAGGTACCCTGTACTCCGGGGGTAGTGACACTTAGGTACCCAAACTTTCATTTGCCACGGAGAGCTACCATTCCAACACTATTGTTCATTCCGTCAGTTTTTAACTTTTGTGAGACCATTTTACCCTCTCTTTCATTGCATCTCCAAAACCCAAGTTTTGAACTTTTCATATCTTCTTTCCATTTTTTTCTTTTCATATGTGTAAGAGAGAGACAAAGGAGAGTTCAAAGATAGGAAAAATTCAAAACTTGGGTTTTGGAGATGCAACAAAAGAGAGGCAAAAATGGTCTCATACAAGTTCAAACTGTCAGAATGTCAACAGCGGGAGCAGAGTGTTGGAATTTGAAAGTATAAGGTAGCTTGCTGCGCAAATGAAAATTTGGGGACTTAAGTGTCATTACCCTAAAGTGCAGGGTAGTTTCTCTATACTTTATCCTGCAGTTTACTAAAAACTTGCAATAAACTCGAAATTACTTCTAAGTCATAAATGTAATGTAACATGTTTGACAATCTTAATTTAATTCATCAATGTTTGGCTAGACTTGCTTCATTTGTAATACTTTTTGGCATTTTTTTATATAATACTAAGAATTTGCTAAAAGGCCATTCCCAATGTTGGTCCCAGCTATCTAGGTCTTGGGAGGGATGGAATGGATATAGACCTAATTTTCATCATTTTTTTGCACGAAGTGGCTGCTCCTAGATTCCATCCTGCATTCTCACGCTTGTCAACCTGAGATTTTACCATTAACCAAGCAATGGTTTCTTCCCTTTGTAACCTGCTAACCAACAAAATATTCTACAACCAACAATTTTTCTATCAAAAGAAAAGGGAAAAAGTTGTCATCGCTTAGATTTTTTTCCAATGGAGTTGATGTAGTTGACATTACCTAAGAACGAACAATAGTTCACACCATAGCATCATTTCAAATTAGTAAAATTACAAAAGATTTGATCCATTAGCATAACACAAGATGAATTTTTAATAGAAGCAAGCGGATATTTTTTCTTGGGTGTTGCTTATGATGCTGCAAAAGATGGTAATTCCACATATGCAGATCATTATATTTTAATACTCTCTTCTTTTCTTCATGTTGTTAAACATATCAAACTAAAATAGTTCAACACTTGGTTTCATTCACCTTCCATTCTTGATATGATGACATGTTCACAAACAAATTGCAAGCACCCTAGTCAATCCTTGTAATGTTTCATATTGGAATTAGTTACAAGCTATTATATCTATCCTGGCTGTTAAGAAAAATTATAAGGAATTACGTCTCTTTAGGGTGGGGGGATCACGTTGATAAAATCCACCTTGACTAACCTTTCTATGTACTTCATGTCTATCTTATTGTGAAGTGGAAAAATTGATGAGAAACTTTCTTTGGGAACTAGGAGACAGAAAGAAGGATCATTTGGTAAGATGGGAGAAGCTTGTCAAAAGGAAAGAAGAGTGGGTTGGATTTAGGAAACACTAGTGGGAAAACCTTGCTCTTTTAAGTAAGTGGTTGTGGTGCTTCCCCTTGGAGAATGATAGATTGTTGCATAAAGTGGTTTCAAGTGTTCATGGGTTTTCTAGGAATGAATGGGATGCTGGTATTCTGCAAAGGGCTAGTCAAGTTGTCCTTCTTTCTCAATTCCTTAAGCATATCAGGTATGATTTGCCTTCTGGTAATAGGATTAGATTTTGGGAAGATGTATGGGTTGGGGATCTCTTCTTGAAAGATGTGTTTCCTTATCTGTATGCTCTCTCAAGCCTTAAAGAGAAACCTGTGTTTGAATTCTTTGGGTCTCGTTCCTCTTCTCGGGAGGATTGGAATTTGGGGCTAGTGGGAAACCTTAGAGAGTCTAAAATGTCTTCAGTGTCTAACCCGTTAAATATTTTGGATGACCTAGTTTTTGATGATTCAACGGATGATAGTTGAGTTTGGTCTCTTAGTCCCTATGGGTTGTTTACCTGGAAATTCTTTTTCTCTTCCCTTGTGGCCACTTCCTCTCCCCATACCTTTCTTGTGAAAGAATTTTGGTGTGCCCCTATCCCTCCAAAAGTCAATGCCTTTTGTTGAGAAGTTTATCATGGGTGGTGCGTAAGGGTGGATTCGAGTGGAGCTGAGCCAAATACTTGGCTATTCGAGCTCGACTCACAGGAATAGTATCAAGCTCGAGCTTGGCTCGGCTTGAGCTCGACTTTAAGCCAAGTATTTTTGAAAAATAAAAATTATATGTATAAAATTATTATTTTTTATTTTTTAGACAAAAAATTAAGAATTATAAAAATTATTTTTATTTTACATACAAGAAAATAAGAATTAAAAAATTATTTACTATTATACATGAAAAATAAAAATATTAGTATATATAATAAAATTATTTATTATATATATATTTATATGTATGTATGTATATATAATAAAAAATATTTATTAAATACTATGTTCATGAGCCTCACGAGCCAAGCTTTACCGGGCTCGATTAGCAAATGAGCCTATATATTGGGCTCGAATTGAGCTCAAAGTTCGGTTTAAACCGAGTCAAGCCGAGCTCGAATAGATCGTGAAAGGATCGGCTCGTGGCCACCCCTAGTGGTGCGTTAATACGTGCTATCTGTTGCAAAAGAAAAGGCCAAATTGGTGCATTTTGTGTAAGTTGAATGGTGAGAGTGCTTTGACAAAAGCTCTTGGAGGTATGGTTTCCCCAAATTGGTGGGTGGATGTAACTTAATTTTGAATGAAGTAGTTTATGCAATTCGGGACCCTCTGGGATTGGAGGAGTGATTCAAGATGTGAGTGAGAACATTTGTGGGTTGTTTCAAGGCCTATTGATCAGGGTGATTTAGTGAGAGCTGAATTCATGGCTGCTATTGTTGGGGTCCAAAAAGCTAAGGAAATAGGAATCACAAGGCTGATTGTAGAAGGGGACTCAAAAATAGTCATTGGTTGGTTGAAAAAGAGAGAAAGAGTATTATGGCAATTCAGAAATGAATTCAGGCAGTTCAAGTTGCTGTCAAGACAAGTGCAAATTCATGTAAGATGGGTTAGGAGGTCCACTAATGGGTTGGCAGATGGATTAGCTAAGCAAGGAGTATATAGACATCATTTGTTTTGGTCTCAATGTTAAAAGGGTGGTGGGACTTTTTTGTTGTAAAGGGTTTTATTCCTAACAATTTCTTGTTGTAATCTCTCTCTCTTTAAGTTTTAAAATAAAATTCTTTGAGTTGCTGATAAAAAAAATCATTGCTGTTATTTGCATATCATAAAGCTTTCTCATAGTTACTTAGAGGAGAAAATAGAAACTCCTAATGCATTTTCTAACAAGATTGTTTTAAGCTTTGCTAATGTTTATGTGGTCTGCAGGAGAAGTATTTAGAGATCTTGTTGGAAGTGCATATTATGTAGCTCCAGAGGTCCTGCAACGGAATTATGGAACTGAAGCTGACATTTGGAGTGCTGGAGTGATACTATACATTCTTCTTAGCGGGGTTCCACCCTTCTGGGGAGGTACCTACTCCATCCATATTATTGAGGAAAACATCCATGGAGCTTGGTTGATCCCATATCCCCTCCTTACTATTGATTTGCAAGCTGTCCAGTCCAAATCTTCACCCAGTTTAGTCTGAGGTGTAGACTGACAATAACAATGTTTGGAGGATCTAAACTTTCTGATATGTTTCTAGAATTAGACCTGTTAGGAAAAGGTGAATGAATTTAGAGTTGGAACTGCAAGGGAAAAAGTCAATGGTTGGGTGGTTAGAAGTGCAATAGCTTAATGAACATTGCCAATGATTTATTTTATCAAGACTGATGAATCTCATGTCCATCTTTTATTTACCAATTTTCTGATATTGAATATTGCTCAATGGTTAATATTGGCAGTTTTAATATTACTTATTGCTCACCTTCCTTTCTATTGCAGAGAATGAGCAGGGTATTTTTGATGCTGTTCTCCGAGGAAATATTGATTTCTCATCTGATCCTTGGCCTTCCATATCTAGTAGTGCTAAAGATCTTGTGAAGAAAATGCTACGGGCTGATCCAAACGAGCGGATTTCTGCAGTTGAAGTTCTAAGTAAGCTTTAACTCTTCAAAATATTCAGGGATGAGCCAGATGGTTGTATTGGTATGAGCCATGATTATGTGATGTCTATTATGGTCACTGGAAAAAGGTTATGCCTACTCCATGCATACAATTCTCTGATAGAATATATTTATTAAGACTATTCATCACATGGATATGTAAATTGGCACGTGAAAAACATGCTGGTAGGTTGTGTTCAACCATTAGATGGACCCTTATCTAGTAATATCTGACATCAAAACTGGCCCGAGTGTCTGATCATAGCTTTCTTACCTTTCACGTTTTTTGTATCATCTAAAAATGGACTGTTAAAAAGTGCTTGATTGCGTTGTTTCTACTACTCACCCTTTAGGCCCTTGTACTTGGATTAGGATTTTGTTTTCTTTGGATTTGGTAGATTACATGCTCTAGGCATAAATTCTAACCCAAGTGCAAATAAGGAGGGTATACAGGATCTATTCCATTATTCCATCACAGGGCCTCTTTATTGGACAGTTACAATCATCAAGTCAGTAAACTTCTCTGTTGGAAATCTTCTAGGTAGGTTACACTCCGAGGCTATAATCTTCATCTATTGTATGTGTACCATCTAATATAGGACTTCAATAAGACAGGATCCTGTCTTCTAAACACTGTTCCAGGTTTCTCCACTATTTGAAGGAAATGGAATATGTATTTGCACATAGAACATACATGTCTTTGAGTGTGTGTGTATAGTCTGAAGCTAGAATCAGAAGTTTGACTGCCAAAAATAAAATGCAGGCCATCCATGGATCAGAGAAGATGGGGATGCATCTGACGAGCCAATTGATATTGCTGTTCTAACCAGAATGAAGCAATTCAGGGCAATGAACAAATTGAAAAAAGTAGCTCTACAGGTGAGGGTAGCTGCTCTTTATGCTTTTTACTTCAAAATGCATGGAAGATGGAACCTTCTTTGAGTTTTCCCCCCTTTGTGTGCCCCCTTTCTTCTTTTTCCTCTACCAGGTTATTGCAGAAAATCTTTCTGAAGAGGAGATCATGGGGTTGAAAGAGATGTTCAAATCCATGGACACAGATAACAGTGGAACAATCACTTTTGAGGAATTGAAAGTGGGTCTTCCAAAATTGGGTACCAAGGTTTCTGAATCTGAAGTCAAGCAGTTGATGGAAGCGGTAGGATCTCCTAATCTTAAATTGAAGCTAATTTTTCTGATGCATTAATATCCTTTTCTCCCATGTCTGGAAGTACATAGATAAATAATATCATGATATATCTGTAAACCTACCTCCCACTCCCAACCCAAAAGAAAAAGTTTGAATAATTCAGTTCATTGATCTGACCTTCTAGTGATTGGCTGGAATGAAGCTGAAGAATTACATTGATTTGAAAGTGCTGATTCGCCATGCCCCCAATTCCTTGTCAATATCTATTGAATATTTCCAGTAGTCTAAGCTGTAATATTAATTCTGATAGTTAAAATTGTGATCTATCAACTAATCTCTCAATGTATGTATACATTTTTTTTATCAATAACTGAATGAGATTCATTAAATAAAAATCAAGAAATTACAAAGAGAGGAAGGGAGATAAACTTTCTTAGCTCCCCCCAATAGGTGAAAACGAAAATTACAATATAGCCCAGAAAAATATTGCTTCTCTCCACTCCTTGCTTGGCCCAAACATCATCCAAACAATTAGCATCTCTCTTACTCCAATGCAGCTGAATTTCCATGCCTTGAGTTAGGAACCTGAATTTCCTTTTTTCATTGATGTAATCCCACCAGCCCATCTCCTCCTTTTGAAGCCATCCAATAACAAGCTTTGAGTTCCCTTCAATTATTAGCTTGGAAATATTTAATTCCTAGGCCTTCTGAACTCCTTCCATTACAGCATAGATTTCAGCTCTCAACGAGTCACCCACTCCAATAGGGCCTGAGAAAAGAGCCCTAATGAAACCATCCTAATCTCTGAAGACACCTCCAATACCTGAAGGTCCTGGATTGCCCTCACTACTACCGTCAAAATTCAGCTTGATAAATCCATTAGTAGGAGGGGTCCAGGAAGGTCTAACAACGATTTTCAATGGAGCAGGGTCAGCCACTTCCCTCCACTTCCTTATCAGATCCGCAGGTGATATTCCTTCAAAGATTTCAAAGTCTTCACCCAATGAATCACCCTAGATGAAAATTAATGCATGTATACATTGGCAATGTGGAAGGTAGTGGCTGAAGGGAAACTTCTTTAATTTTATTATATAAATGTACACCCTTCCTCATGTGAAGACTATTTTCAGCAACTTCTTCAGTCCTACTAGAGATGACTCCCATGAAAGGGAAGCTATCATTGATTCCATCACCAGGAAAGTAGCTCATTAGGTTAGAACAATGCACTTGTTTAACCCTTTTTCTGTTGATGGCATTGTCAGGAATTGGCATCAGATTGCTCAGTCTAGCAGTGGCAGAACTTTAGTGCATAATTGGTGGGCTCCACCACTACGACACAGCATGCTAAATTTTGATGGGTTTAGCAGGGGGAACCTGGGTTTCTCTCGAATAGGGATAGGGGGAGCATTCAGGGACAGTAAGGTACCAATAGCAATCTTTTTAGGTCTTTTTTTTTTTTTTGATAGGAAACAGTAACTTTCATTAGAGAATTGAAACGATTACAGACTTATCACCCACAAAATGGATGGAAAAAAACAAAAACTTACAAACAAGCCCAAAACAAAGCCTCCCTAGTAATTCCTTGCTTAGCTAAAGTGTCAGCCATTCCATTTGCTGACCTTCTTACCCATTTAAAGTGCACCCCCGTCTCCCTTGCTAAGCTAATAATCTCTCTTAGAGGCTGTCTAAGAGACCAAACTCCCAAGTTTCCAGATTGCATCCACCCTATTACCAGCTTGGAGTCTCCTTCCACTTCTAATTGCTGCATTCCCCATTGTTTCGCCAGTCTCAAACCTTGAAGTAAAGCCATTACTTCTGCCCTTAATGAATCTCCCACCCCAATTGGGCCCCGAGTAAAGGGCCATGGTTCTGCAGTTAGAGCTGCAGTTCTTGCAAGCGTTGAGGTTATCTAGAAAGAAAAGTTACACTAACATTATTGTAGAGGGTGGTTCTAAAGTAGTCATGGGATCATTTATCAAAAAAAAAAAAAAAAAGTAGTTGTGGGGTGGATTCAAAAACAAGAAAGCTGGCCTTTGATGTATAGAAATTTGCTAAAACAGATAAAAGAGCTCAAAAGGGGCAGGGTAATAAATGTTCAATGGGTTTACAGGGAAGCAAATTAGCTGGCAGTCGGATTAGTAAAACAAGGGGTTCAGAGCAAGAATCTTTTTTTGGGGGTTGAGAATGCCTATGATGTTTGTAATCTCTGGCTTGGACAATCCATTGTACTTTTTTATTCATATTAATAAAATTTATTTGTTACTTGTCAAAAAAATATCATCTTACCCAAACAATGAGAAAGATGTTGGTCTTGTTATATAAAATGAATACTAGATAATTATTCATGTAACCATACAATATGAATTAAAAAAACCAAGTACACGGTTGGGACATTACATGTGGATAGACAAATACAAATAAAAATAATAAAATCTGAAAGAGTTGTGACTAGAACAGATACCATTTTTGATAAAGGGGGCACAGCCCCTAGTGAGTAGACAAAAAGTGATGCTTTGAAAAGATAGGCACCCCTATGCATCTATGTACTTTAAGGGGGACACCTTTTGTCTTTTCACAAGAGATGTGCTCCAATCAGCACTCTATCTGAAAACAAAGACGCCAAGATAAAAGAAATTGGTTATTACTTCTTTGTTTTTTTGGTAGAAATTGGTTATTATTTCTTGACACCATGATTGTTAGAGTTCATCTGAATTTGCATCTAGAGCTGCTTTCTTCAGCCTAACTCTTCCACATATATTTTATACATGTAGGAAGTCATCTACAATTTTATGATTTGGCATGGATAACTAAATACAACTCTTGTCTGCTTTGTCAGGCTGATGTTGATGGAAATGGAACCATTGATTATATTGAGTTTATAACAGCTACAATGCACATGAATAGAATGGAGAAGGAAGAGCATCTATATAAAGCCTTTGAATATTTTGACAAAGACAAGAGCGGGTTCATTTTTTCCTGAAACTTTCATATTTATTATAAAGAGTGGTTGTTGAAGCTGTTAATGCTGTTATTTGCGTGTCTCCATGTTTGATTTGTTTTCCATTCCTATCTTTTCAGGTACATCACAATGGAGGAATTGGAGCAAGCCCTTAAGAAGTATAATATGGGTGATACAAAAACAATAAAGGAAATAATTGCAGAAGTTGACACAGATCATGTATGTCTTGTATACTTGAAATGTGCTTGTTTTCTTATGTCCAATTATTTTCAAATTGATGGAAATTTAGAGGTGAGTCCATTAAATAAAAACCAATCTTTGGATAAGAATGGGATACTGATCCTACTGATGTTGCAGTCTGGCAACCATTAGAGCTACTCAATGAACTAGCCCATCCAACCACCTGCACCCAAAGACCTAGTAAAGATAGTATAAGCTCCTGTTTGTTTTTCTTCTTATTGGCAGTTATATTTATTGTCTGGTTCAGTATTTCTAGTGAAGCCAATATAGGTTTTGCTACTTCACATGTAAACTAAATGCTCAAAGATTAAGAGAAAAGTAGCACTAATAATAAAGCAATTAAGAGAAAATCAACTATCAAGAAAAAAAAAGGAAGAGCAGAAAGCTTGTGGAATGTCTTCCTAGAAAATAAATAAAAAGTTGGATATTTGTCTCTGAGGGATTACATGGCATAAATTCTGTAATAATTTGTCAAAGAAGGATAAATTCCTTACTGCTGATTTTTGTATCACTTGTCAGAAATTCCTTGATGCTGACTCTTTTGCCTCTTATCTTCCAGGATGGAAGAATCAACTATGATGAGTTTGTTGCCATGATGAGGAAAGGCAATCCTGAGTTGACCACCAACAGACGCCGAAAATAATTAACGACTTGGTTGGGTGATTTAATGCTCTTTAGTTCAACCTCATTTGGCCTGTGAATTGTGTTGCAGACTTGCAGTTTTATGGCTGCGTGTTTGATAACCATTGCAGTCGGTTCTTATTAAATGGTTTGTAATTCCCTGCACACCCTTCTGAAAATTTGAGGGATTAGTCCTCTACATGTGCACGACTCTGCAGGATAGCGTATGATTTGTTTGGTGGGGAAGCAGGGAGGATCCAATAGAAGACTGAAGGATTAGGGTACAAAGTACAAACTCTATGGATTAGGCGAGGACCTCACAGCTCAAATGGTCCCCCTCTCTGTATCACAACCCTGCCCTGGGACAGATATGTCAATACGTTCTCACCTCCCAAAGTAGTAACAATGATAAAATGAAAAAGGAAAAACAGAAGGGATGATTGTACAGTCCAATTTTATGATGTGTTCTTTTTTTTTTTATTTTTATCAATAACACTTTCATTAATTCATCGGTAGAAAATTTACAAGTGGAAGACAAACACACTTATCTTCCAAGAGTCACAAAKAWCTTCAARAAAKGAAAAAAGAAAATACAAAGATACAAAGACACTAACGTTACAGCTTAGCCTAAAACAAAGAATCCCTTTCTGCCCCTTGTTTTGCTAAGCCGTCAGCTAGGGAATTAGCTGATCTTTTAATCCAACATGTCTTAACTTCCATCTCCCGCACCAGCCATTTGAATTTCCTCTTCTCATTATTATACTTTTATAAATCATTTTGATCTTTAGTCAGGCACCCTATTACCACCTCTGAATCTCCTTCAATTATAAGTTTCTTGATGTTCAATTCTTTAGCTTTCCGGGCTCTTTCCATAACTGTACATATCTCAGCTCTAAGGGAGTCACCCACTCCAATTGGGCCTAAGAACATAACAGAGATGACTCTATTTTCATCTCTAAAAACACCCCTGATCCCCGATTGTCCCGGGTTTCTCCTACTGCATCCATCAAAGTTTAACTTCAAGAATCCACTAGGTGGGAGTCACCCACTCCAATTGGGCCTAAGAACATAACAGAGATGACTCTATTTTCATCTCTAAAAACACCCCCGATCCCCGATTGTCNCCTAAAATGTATGATAGCCCTCAGATCTGTTGTTCCTCTTTGAGTTTCTGAGAATATCCTAGAGTTTCTTTCTTCCCACAGTGTCCAACATACTGTAGCCCTTAGTCCTCTCCACATTGTCCTTCCCCTTTTTAACCGCCACTTGAAAAAGGAAGGTGAGAAAAGGCCCTGCATGTCTGGTGGGGGATTCCAACTGCATCTAAATAAGGAGAAAGCCCAATCCCACAATGACCTCGCGAAGTGGTAAGACACCATTAGGTGAAAACCAGTCTCCCCATCTGCTTTACACAGAACACACCACTGATGTGACAAGCAAGTATTGGGTCTCTTCTTTTGGAGTAGATAACTAGTGTTGATTCTTTTCAGATAGGCTTCCAACAAAAATTACCAACCCTAGGAGGTATTGTTCTGCACCAAACCTCACCAACAGGGAAAGGGGACAATGTAGGATTGGTGGACTGACTTAAGACTTTGAAGAACGAAGCACAAGATAAAATTCCATTAGGGTTAAGTGTCCAAATTCTGGAATCCGCCCTAGTGGGGTCTAAGACAACGTTATCAAGAAGTGCAAGAAGGCTAGAAATACAGTCGAGGTCTGAGTCCCTCAAATCTCTTCTTAGACCCAAGTTCCACCCAATCCCAGAAGTGGAAGAGGACGGGGTGGTGAAAGACGAGATCGGCTCATTTTTCAAATTAGAAAGAGCATA